CACCCGCGGCCACAAACGCCGCCGCGCGACTACAGAAGAACAAGATCGCGCCCCCGCGCCGCCGCCTGCGCAGCCACGGCCCGGCGAGCGAATGAAGAAGAAGGAGATTGCTAGTCTCTACGTATGCGAACTCTTTGTAACAACGAAGATAACGCGAAACACGTTCATATATATATAACGGAAGAGTTGCGACTTTAGATGAGAACCACCGCCAACGGTTTTGCCGTATCTCGACAGAAAACATTATTGTGCACCTTGTAGGAACTCATTGCTGGCATTATAATAATAGTTCGCAGATATGGCAGATACTCTGGATACCGTGTCGAGGCATTCATGCTTCGTCCAGTGCGAACGCATTCCATTGCAGCGTATTGCCCTGCCGTGGGTGGCGACCGACGTCCCCGGGTGCACTCGCTTCGCTCGTGGAGCGCTTCGCGCTGAAGAGATTATTCGTATTTCGTGTCATGGGAATGCAAGACGTTGGGTAGAATGAGGAGGTCGAGTGTCGTAGGTAGGCTTCGCAAGGGAGGAGTGCTAGGCCCTCGGAAACCAGTCCAAAAGTCAGTGGCAAGCCAACTGGACTCTCGGAAGTTGTAAAAATGAATGTGAAAAAAAACCACACCGAAGTGTGGAAATCAGTTTTCACACTGATTAGAACAGATACTACACTTGATCTTAGCCAAGGAAGAGTCCCCCCCATCCGGACACGAATGTCACTGAAGACGGTCACCATAATAAGGCAACGCTCGGCATGTGCCACAAAGAACACAAGGAAGAAGCGCGATGAAACGGCTCATTAGTTAGAGTTAAACGTCAAATGCACCCGTCTGAACTATTAGCCAAGGAAGAGCAAGGTATGCATGAGACCTACTTGTAGAAAAAGCAGTGTTTAGGGTTAAAAGTTAAATACACCCGTTTGCCCATTAGCCAAAAGGCCGAGAAGGTATGATTGAATTAAATCGTCATGTTGAATACCTGGGTTTGCCACTTGGACGGACTCGCCGTTTGAAAAGTTGCAGGATCGCTTCATGCTTCTAGATTCGATTTGGACCGTTCCATCCCTCGATGTTCCGAGGCCCAGGCGCAACAAGCCTTGTCAGAGCTCACTAAATAGACAGAGCTCGTGTGGACGAAGCAACATGCTACCGCCTATGCTGACCTTGCCATCACTTGAAGCTCGATACCGGTAGATAGAATAGTAGATAGATAACGCAGCAAACATGTCATCTCTCCACCAAGCTTCGACATGCCTGCGCGTTGAAAGGCGCCGTCGTCGAGCACGACAAGTTCCACACTTGGAGTACGCTGTCGACCGGTGCGAGGTCCATCAACATGGCATGCAATCGTGGCGACGCAACCCAGTGCAACTGCCACAAAACCGGACGATTCGGCGTTCCGTATCCGGATGACAGGCCTAATCCAATTTCGACCCGAATGCCAGCTCCATCTACCACGACAGGCCAAGCTGCTCATACGTTCGTCTGCAGGCCACAAGTATGCATTAAAGGTCCACATTAGGAAGGACACTTTGTCCACATAACTCTGGTCTACGGCAGCGCCTGCAGCAGCGTCTTCATGATGTAGCCCGTCTCTTCGGGGTTGGAGACCCACACGGTCGACGCCACGTCGCGCGAGCGCGTGTCGTTGCCTACGCATGCCACGTCATCACGACATTGCCGCATGGCACGTGTACCTGTGCGCGTAAAGCGATCGCCAACGTGGAGGCATTCGTGGCCCGCCAGCAACGCCTACCACCCGCTCATTGTCCTTCAAGTTGCAGTAGAAAGGCAAGGGCCTCGTACCTGCGGCGTCGGGAGGCGGTCGCCCACGAACGTCTGCAGCGCCGAGATGCCGAGCGCCTTGTTGCCAATGTCGACAAAGACGTCGTTGCCGCCGTTGAAGGCGCAGTGCGGAATCGAGTGGTCCTTGAGCGCGTGCTGCACGGTGAGCGCGACCTCTTCGAGCGTCTCGTAGCAGAGCCGCTTGGTCGTCGACGTGTTGTAGATGCCAATCGCGCGCTCCTTGCGAAGGACCGCCGCCGTGAGTTGGAACGTATCGACCATCTCGGTCAGCACGTTCTACGACATTCACGTTGGAGATGCGAGTTTTTGAGATTCGAGATTGGAGAGGACCTCGGCGACGTCGAGGAGCTGGTCGACTTCGGCTTGGTCCCAGCGCTCGCCACGACCGTCCTTCCATTCCCGCCCAGGCACGACGCGCAGCGACACCTTGCCGGTCGTCGCGCAGGTCTCGGTCACATGGAGGTAGTTGCACTCGCCGCCCATGACCTACACATGTGCTCCGCATGGTATTTTTCTCAAGCGATAGGCGCATACGAGGAAGCGCGAGCGCTCGGCGGGCGTGAGGCCGGCGAGCACTTCGAGGATCTAGTAGGTGTCGCAGCATGATGCACGATGACATGGAAGATGCGAGAACGTACGCCATGCAGACGCGCTTCGTACCGCGCGGGCTCGTTCGGGTACCCCGCCGCCGTGACGAGTGAGACCACAAGGCCCTTTTGCAAGAGGCCGACGATGACCTGGACCATCTCGGACGAGGCGCTGGCACATGCATGAGGCATGACGACGACGGAGACCAGCGTCTACCTGATGGTACCGCCGTCCTCGTAGATGGTATCGTCGGCGTCGAACGTCACCATCTTGAGCGTCGGCGCGATTGAATGGATCTACGAGCCATGCCATACGCTTGCGAGTAGTACAGCAAGGACGTACGGTCGCCAGGTTGAGAATGTGGCGGACCTCCTTGAACGTCGGTGCGACGCGCTTGCGCTTGGAGAAGTGCGTCGACTCGTCGTACATGTGGACCGCGTCCATGAGCTTCATGGGCGCAAAGATGCGCCGGACCTTGGGAATGTACTTGCGGAGGCGGCTACCGAGCGGCGAGAGCACGTGCTCGTTGATCATCTCTTCGACGAGGGTGAAGACCTCCATGATGGTGAGCTGGAGGCCCGCCGACTCGTCGATCGGCGCCATGATCCATTCGCGGATGAGCTCGATGAGCGGGTCTTCTTCCTTCAACATCGTCGTGGCTCTTGGTTGCTCGCCACTTGCAAATGTGGACGACACAGTATTTTCCGTCGATCGTAAAATAACGTAGTGGTGCCATCGTCCTACAAATATGAGGCTAATAAAAAAAGTATGTGCCGGTTCGGTTCACTTTATAGCCTCCACACGGATATAGTATTAAACCACATACAAACAACCAATTCAGTGCAAGGCTAAACCCACGCAATGCAACCCCGGCCACGGCGTCTGTCCATGCCCCGGCGCGGGTCCATGCCGCGTGTACCGTCATGGCCTCTGCGAACGACACGGAATGTGTGAAAAACACGACCAGCGACGGGCGCAATGCGCTAGGGGGCGGCGACGTCGCTTGCGAAGGTGGTGGTACGTTTTGAAATCGACTAGCTTAAGGGGCGTTATATTAGTTGCCTGCCGCGACAGCAATCGACCAATGAACTTGTCGAATCCTCGCGAAGGTCAACATGCTGCTCCGAGCGACGCGGTTTGCGCGCGCAACGCGGCGCCTCTCGACAACGGTCGATGCGTACAACGTCGGGTCAACGACGCACGGCTTCAAGGTTCTGCGCAAGGAAGCGATTCCCGAGTACTCGATCACTGCGATCCAGCTGCAGCACGAAGCGACCAAGGCCGACTACTTGCACATCGACAGCGTCGACAGCAACAACGTCTTTAGGTACGTCCCGCGCTCGACACTGCCTCTCGCAATCCTCTCGCATGATGATGTAGCGTCAACTTTCGCACGCCACCCACGTCGTCGAATGGCATTGCGCACATTGTACGCGTCCTCGCCCAAGCACGGGATCTATTGCTCATGCGTCGTTATGCGTAGCTCGAGCACCTCGTGCTCTGCGGCTCCAAGCAGTACCCGGTCCGTGACCCGTTCTTCAACATGCTCAAGCGCAGTCTCAACAACTTTATGAACGCGATGACGGGCGCCGACCACACCATGTACCCGTTTGCGACGACCAACCGCACGGACTTTGACAACCTCCTGCGTGTCTATTTGGACGCGACCTTTTTCCCGCGGCTTCGAGAACTGGACTTTCTTCAGGAAGGTCACCGTCTCGCACTCGACGAGACGACGGGCCAGCTGCAGTACAAGGTACGAGGAGCGACCGACTTAGTTGCATTTTTCAAAATGACAACGTTAGGGTGTCGTCTTCAATGAGATGAAGGGCACGCTCTCGGACAGCGACACGCTCTTTGCGACGCGCTTGCAGCAGCACGTGATGCCGACGGGCAGCATCTACGCTCACGTGAGCGGTGGCGACCCGGCGGTCATTCCGTCGCTGACCCATGACGAGCTCAAGGCCTTCCATGGTACGCACTACCACCCGTCAAACGCGCTCTTCTACTCGTACGGCAACTTTCCGTTGTCGGACCATCTCGCCTACATCAACAACAACGTCCTCTCGCAGTTTGAGGCGGCGACGGCTGTCAAGATTGCACCGTCGATTGTGGAGCCGCCGCTTGTGGCCGCACCGCTGGTGCAGCTCGAAGGGCCGGACGATGGCGTGAGCGGTGACGCGGCCGCGCAGACCAAGTGGGTTCAAGCCCACGTGCTGCCGAATGTGCTCTCGACCGACATGTACACGTGCCTCGTGCTGCGCATTGTGTCGTTTTTGTTGCTGCATGGACCGTCGGCGCCGTTGTACAAGGCGTTGATCCTCTCGGAGCTCGCGATCGACTTTGCCACGGGCACGGGCGTCGACACGTCGTCGGTCAACCCCGTCTTTGGTATCGGCGTCGAAGGTATGCAGGAGGGACGCTCTTGGTGTCATTTTGCATTTTCCTCGTTTTTTCATTTTTCCCATTTTTTCATGTTTTTGTTTCGTATGTTTCCTGTTTCAAAATTCGTGTTGCATACTTTGTGTTGCATATTTCGTGTTCAAATGGGCGGATGGCTAAGACGTAGTATGTAGGCTTTGACAAGGCCAAGTTGCCCGAGATCCAAGCGACGATCGCGCGCGTCTTGGACGAGGTTGACCGTGATGGGTTTGACGTGGACCGTATCGATGCCATGCTCCACCAGGTAATAGATCGTGTCCTGCACGAACTCATTTGTGTGTACAAATTGTCTCTATGTATCCGGGTAGATTGAGCTCAGCCAAAAACACATTGTTGGCAAGTTTGGCATGACGCTCTTGCGCGGCGCGGCGTCGACGTGGTGCCACGACGGCGATATGATTGCCGCGCTCGGTATCAATCCGTACCTCGCTCGTCTTCAGCGCGACGTACACGCCATCGCTTTTCTGCCTTTTTAAATTGATTTTCGCGTGTTGTAGATGGAATTGAACCCGCGCTTTCTTCAAGATGCGCTTCGCACGTACATGATTGCGCCCATGCAAACGACAGCGCCCATCCAGGTGCTCATGGAGCCGTCGACCGACTTTGTGCAGAAAATGGAAGCCAACGAAGCCGCGACGCTCGAGGCAATTCAAGCCCGTTTGTCGCCGGACGAGTTGGCCCGCATTCAAGCAACAACCCTTGAGCTGCAGGCCCACCAAAACCAGGTTGGGTTCTTTTATCCACATTGTACGAAATGACATGATGGGTCTGTAGGTGCCGGACGTCGACTGCCTCCCGACGTTGACGCTGCACGACATTCCGCCGCAGCACCCCAAGCTCACGACCGAGATGCGCGGCGCCAACATCCAATTCGTGCCGCAGTCGACCAACGAACTCACGTACACGAAAAGACAATATCTGTCCACATTGTTACAGAGATTTTTATGGGACATTATGTGGTAGGTACTTTCGGCTCAAGTTTGATACGTCGCGGGTGCCGACCGAGCTCAAGCCATACTTGCCATTCTTTGCCTCCGTGCTCGGCCAGCTCGGCACGAGCCAGCTCTCGTTCCAAGACCTCGCGACCACCGTGCAGTCGATCAGCGGCGGTGTCTCGGCCTCGACGTTGCTCGTTCCGGGTACAATATTGTATATCTATATATTTTTCCTCGTAATTCCACCGCAGACAGGTCATATTTATACGACTCGATACATAGATACGCACACGACGGCGATTTACACCGAGTCGCTTTTGGTCGAGACACTCTGTCTGCCGCACAAGGTCGACGCGACGCTCGCGTGCCTTGTCGCTGTCTTTACCGACACGCAGTTTACGTCACCCGAGAACGTCCAGCAGCTCAAGACGTTGCTGACGAGCGCGGCGTCAGCGGCCAGCGCGTCGGTGGCGTCGAGCGGGCACCAGCTCGCGGCGACCCGTGCCCAGTACGGTCTCACGGCAGTCTCGTCGCCCTACGAACAGTATGTCGTGGTATTTTATCCATAGTTTTATGGAAACTATTGTCATTAGGTTGCACGGGCTGACGGCGATTGATGCGATGCAAGCGTGGCTCAAGGCGACCGAAGAGGACCCGGCGACGCTGCTCCAGTTTGCATCGGCGCTGAGTGCGCTCGCCCAGCACATTTTCCAGTCGGAAACCATGCGTCTCTCGGTGGTCACTGAGCCACATCTGATGACGGCGATCGAAGCATCGATTGCGGGATCGCTTGTCGCCCACCTCCCGCGCGCGAGCGAGGTTGCGCCAGTGACGCCCGTGTTTACCCCGACGCAGCTGCCCGAAGCGACGCCCAATGCGTTTTTTGGGTACCCCCTCTCGGTCAACTTTAACGTGCAAGCGATTCCGACGGTGCCCCTTTTCCACGCCGACCATGTGCCATTGACGGTCCTGGCGCAGGTACAACACTATTGTGAACGCAGACATAATGTCTTTTATTGCATTTGTAGGTGCTCTCGTCGTGCTACCTGCATCAACACGTGCGCGAAAAGGGCGGTGCGTACGGTGCTGGCGCGTCGCAGGTATTTTGCCACCTTTTTCGATTTTTTCGGTTTTTCAGTTGATATTTTGATACTTGGATACGATAGGGCGAAGGTGTGTTTCAAATGAGCTCGTATTACGACCCGCACACGCTCCAGACGCTCGAGGCGTACGATGGCGCGGCCACGTTTGCGGCGACTGGCGCCTTCTCGCACCGCGACGTCGACGAAGCGCTTCTCGGTCTCTTCTCGTCGATCGACGCGCCCCAAGCCCCGTCGGCCAAGGGCAAAGGACTCTTTACGCGCGGTTTCACGCACGAGATGCTGCAAGCGCGCCGCACGCAACTTCTCGCAACGACCAAGGACGATATTGTCCGTGTTGCGCAGACCTACTTGGCGTCGCCGGCGACCATGCAGCGGGTGATTGTCGGCAAGGACGATGGCCGGGACGCGCTTCGCAGTGCCGGATTTACGTGCAACTAGACGACTCGATTCGAGTCGATTTGTCATCGAGTTAACGACGAGGACAATCTAGAGCCAAGAGCCCATACACGTATCTTCGTCCAAGCGATTTGAGGTGCATCATGGACACTTGTATTGGGACAGGCGCGCCCGTGGGGTGCTCATCAGACGTGCACTCTTTGCAGAATGCAGGTCGTCGTGGTCGTGATAGCCAATCACAATCGTTTGCATAAATCGAGGCGCGGGATTGGCCGGGATGCTTTGCCTGCATTGTGCTCACTCTGCATTGGAATGCACGTCGTCAACGATTGACTAACTGGAGAGGTAGCCAATCAAAAGCTCGGTATCATGAGCACGACCCAACGACCCAACGCAATACTGGACGCTCCCCACCAATGGAATAACCAATTAATGTATTCCCTTGCTTCCCACCAAGTCCTCACTTTTCAAATTGCCATCATCTAAAGACGACCATGCGCTGGATGTACGTGGCGGCGATCTTGCTATTGCAGCTCGCCCATGCCCGCCTTATCGTCGACTGGCCCCAGAAGCGGTCGCTCGACGAGAAGAAGGCGATGGCGATCGCATTTGTTGAAGACCAGCTCCAGCAGCACGCAGTACCCGGCTTTGCCCTCTCGATCGTCTACCAGAACGAGACGGTGCTCACCCGCGGCTTTGGCACCAAACAAGTACGTCCACTATTATGCAACAATGTGTCGAATTCTCATGGATCTATATTGTCTAGTACGGCAACGACTCGAACGTCGTGACTGAAAACACGCAGTTTCAGATTGGGTCGTTCACCAAGACATTTATTGCGCTGGGGATTGCCAAGCTGGTACGTACCTTGTCGATATCTTGATATTTAACAATTAAACTCATGGGAAATGCTCGACTGTAATAGGTGGACGAAGGCCGCCTGAGCTGGGATGACCCGGTCAAGCTGCGTCTCCCGTGGTTTGAGCTTGTTGACAAGTACGCCGAGAAGTACACGACGCTTGGCGACCTCGCAGCCATGAACTCAGTGTTCGGCGCATACGAAGGCGATATCGCTTTAAACTTGGCCCTGTACTTGGACGAGCAGACGCTTGTGCGGACTTTGCGCAGCTTTCAAACGACCCGACACCTCCGTCCTGGCTACGCATATGCCAACTTGAACTTTGTGATCCTCGGCCAAGTAATTGCGCATCAGACAAATACGACGTGGGCTCAGTACCTCGATGAAACCCTCTTCAAGCCGCTTGGCATGGTCAACACCTACGCGTCCGTGCCGGACGTGCCATCAAATGGCGACCTCTCGTTCGGCCACGTCATTTGTAACGGCAAAGTGGCTGGACCGTATCATTTGCGGTCGTCGCCCGAGATTGCACTGGGGTACAAGAACGGGCGCGATGCGTCGGGGTCGATCATTTCCACCGCGGCGGACCTCGCGATCTTCTCCAAGTTTCTCCTCTTAAAAGACGATGGCATCTTTCGCTCGCCCACGACGATCGGCGCGATGATCACGGGCCACACCATTGCTCCGATGGCTGCATCGAAGGCCAAAGTCTTGGGTTACGCGTATGCGCCCGACGGTAGCGCCATGACCGCTGGCTACGGCTTTGACGTGACAAGCGCCGTCATGTTTGGTCACCACTACTTTGACAAGGGCGGCGACATGATCGCGTTCAAGACTCGAAATGGTTTTTTGCCAAAAGAGCAGCTCGGTATCGTGCTGCTTGCCAACGCCGAGGCCCAAGACGGTCCGTTCGAAGATGCCGTCTTGTCCGATCGCATGCGAACGTACCTCGCGGGCATCTTCCTCGATATTCCCGAGCGGACGCTGGTGACCGGGCTTGAAGAGGCGACCGCGGCCGCAAACGCGCTGCGCCCGCCGTCGCCGTGCAATGCGCGTGTCTTTGGCGGCGCGTCGTGGGCCGAGCTGAGTGATCCGATCCCGGTGGCCGCCCAGAACGCTTTGATTGGCTCGTACGCGGCGACGATCTCGACCGAGTATTATGGCAACTTGACCATCTCGCGTGGCCAGAACAGTGCTCTCCAGCTGCAGTATGGCGCCTACTCGGCGCCGGTCTATTTTGCACGCAACTCGGCGACGACGCTGCTGTGGGCGCTGGATGCCATGTCGACCGGCGGCCTTTCGTTTCCAGTCGACGGCCTCAACACGTCCACGCCAACGCTTTTCGTGGACGATGGGCTGGTATTCACGAAACTCTCTTATTCATAAGAAAGATGACATTCCATGAATGAACATGCAATACATCATGATGTGTATCGCCGCGCCCGAAGAGAGACGTTATGAATCTACTACTTTACAGCGGTGTTTTCGGCTGTGTTTTATATCCTTGTACGTACGTACAAGCTAGGACAGTACGAGAAACGGTCTTTGACACGTCAAGAAGGTCGTGCCCACCACAGCTAATACTCTCGTCTGAAGGCAGACGATTCAGTGACGGTCCGGTAATATGAAAACGCGCAACTTCCTTTCGCTTGCAATTCGATTCTCAATATTGTCCCAATAAGTATAGTAAGACACTACCAAAAAGCGGTTGCCAACCATTGAAATTACAGTAGACGATGCGTGGACCATGGATGCTTTTACGACGCGATGGTGATGACGGCAACCGAGGTCGCACCGGGTGTCGGCTTGCGGTTACCGGCCGTCGTTTTGAGGTAGCAGACCCCCTCAGCAAGCGTGTAGGCGTTGCACTTGGTACTCTTCTTGCACGCGTCGCAGCACTGGCTGAGCATCGCGCCAAAGTCGCCGGTCGCCTGGAAGTCCGAGAGGTCATTGCCGAAAAAGT